CCTGGGCTCGAACGACGAAAGTTAGTGTGTCGTGTGCGCATAGAGTAGGCTGCAGGATGGTGCAACTACACCTTCTTTTCCTCCTGGCCTACCTTTCCCCTCCGCATCCCCTACCCCCCCATCCGCAAGCCGCTGGGTCCAAATCACTGTGTCTGGCTGCACTGCCCTGGACTGCGTGGCCCGAACCTCAGACAGCACCGAAGCACTGCAAGTGGAGAAACCACCAGAGGCTGCCATGCTCTTCTAGTTCTCCCGCCCATGCCTGCAGGCTCAAGCTGTTGACTAGACCCACTATCCGGGACCACGCAGCCCACCAAGGATCCGCCGAGTCATGTCGCAGTCGCCATCCGGCCATCCTGCCACATCGTCTGGACCGCCTCCACCCTCGGAGCATACTAGCCTTGCAGCAACGCTGGCCAGTCTGCATCAAACCCTGGACAACTCGATCGTTAAGGAACGCTACCGTGCAGGACTGCACAACCAGGTCTGGAACACCAATAACTGGGACTGCATTGGCTCCACAACGGCGTCAAGGTCTCCTCTCCTGCAGACTACTGCAGCACCTCGCGACAACCAGAAGCTCTTGGCTCAGCCAGGATCCCCAGACTCAATCGACACCGCGGACCTCACAGCGGCAGCGGAAGAAGCGGAAAAGACCCTCGCCTCCTTGGCCATGTCCTCTGCTGGCACCACGGTGCCCTCTGGCCCACTGGTTCCACTTCGAGCTCGATCAAGATCCCGCTCTCCCGTCGGCGAAATGGCTACCACCAAGGCCTCTGATCCGCAATTGCCCACAGAGAAGCCCTGAAGAGAGACGCTCTAGCGAGACCACCCGGCAGGGTAGCACTGACCAGAAATCAGCCACAGCAAAAGACCGTCACTGGATTGAGTCCCCTTACAGTGCATCTTGCCTCCTCGTTACCTGTCCCCATTTGCCCTACCCCTGCACTGGCCCAGGTGACACCACTGCGTGGATAACACAGCCCGCAACTCACGCGGAGACCTGTGCCTACTGGTGCCATCTCACCTTTGCCCGTGCACCCACGCTAGAGGAGTCCTCGCCTGCGGTCATTGTCCTGACACGTGCCCACGGTTGCAGCTCTGCATATCAGCTCCCACACCTGTCTACACAGAGCAGGCTGGCACCCTTGACCCGTCGGCACCTCCCCTTGCTCCTGCCTAAGGTTTGTGCCTCTCTTACGATCTGTGACAATCAGTCTCTGTCGCAGCTGGCTGCTCCTCAAACAGGCAGCCGCAATCGGCCTCTGAGGCTTTCGGTTCGTGCGGTGGAAGTATCTGATGGATTGGGGAAGTCTCTCAATCGCAAGGCTTCTGAATGTGCAGAACAGAAGATCGTGACACTGGGCCGTTGCTTAGTGCTGAGCCCAGGAGACCGGGTCTATTGGGTAAGGGACTGCCGGTGGTGGCAGGGGCAGGTGATGCCTGTGGCTCGCGGAGGCGAGCATCCGTAGAGGGCCTGGTAGTCTCCGGCGCCGAGTCCGAGTAGTAGGAGTAGCTGTCGTCCTCCAGTGGTCTGCCTTGCTGATCCCGCACCTGCTGGTACAGGGCCTTGGGCATGGTAGGGGGTCCCGGGGTTGTAGCTCTCGACCGTACTGGTGTTCTGGCAACTCGGTGTCCTCGAGGCTGCGACTGTCTGGGTAGCGGCCTGGTGCTTCTGGAACGCCGCGGTTGCGAGGCAGCTCGTCTCCTGTGGCTGGGTAAAGGGGGTGAAGGCCGCGGTCTGGAGCGGCTGGTGGACCTTAATCGGATGGTCCCAGCTGCAAGTGAGGGCAGGGAGTGTCGCGGCTCTTCCATCTGCTCCCGGATGAGAGGAACATGTGGCTGGTTGCGTGAAGTCCCTGACGGGACAAATCCAGGACGTCAAGTTTCAGGTCCAGGAAATGGCCGAGCAGAACGAAAGAGAACGCACAGAAGCCAAGGAACGCATGGCTTACGTCTTCGAGACGTGCGGCAGCTTGAAAGAGCAGGTACAGACGCTTATGAACGACTTCTACGAGCAAGAAGAGGAACAGGAAGAAGAGCAAAGAGAAAGAGAGGCCAAGGACAGAGAAGCAGAAGGAGAACTACGTCGTGAAGGACACGGACCAGGTACAGCACCTTCGAGAGCTACGTCACCTACCTCCCAGGAACACAAAGGAGAAGACGATGTAAGGAACTGGTCAGACAGGAGCTACTTCGAAGGACTTCAAGAACAGGAAGAAAGTCAGGACTACTTCGGCGAGAACGAGAACGAGGCCTACGTGGACAGCTACGTTGGAGGAGATCCCGGGGAGTACCCCGAAGGAGAAAAGGAAGCAGAGGCAACAGGAGAAGTAACAGCAGAAGAGGAACAAGACGAAGAGGCAAAGGAAGAAGCAAGGAGACAAAAGATCAAGGAGATCAACGCCAAGAGCAAGGAAAGGCTTGAGGAGAAAGAGAAGGAAAAGAAACTCTTTCCGTACCCCTACGACTACAGCAGCGAGTGCAAGGAATACTCTGAGAACGGCAACATCTACAGAGAGCACAGAGTCACAGGAGAAAAGCAGTACGTGGACAAGGACTACACGTACAAGCACGAGAAAGGAACAAAAGGAAAGGAGAAAGGAGCAAAAGCAGGCAAAGGAAGAGGAAAGCCAAAGCAGCGAGCAGAAAACACAGGATTTCGACCTCGAGATGACGATGATCGCAAATACTGGGAAGAACAGGACAGGATCTCAAAGGAACAGCAAGAGGCAAAAGCAGCAGCAGAGGAGAAGAAGAAGGCAACAGAGGAACAGATTGCCAAAGCAAGGCTGATCATGGAAGCGGCAGCAGAAGAGCAGGAGAAGAGAGACAAGGAAGCAACAAGGCAGGAAGCAGCCGCAGCCGCCGAGAGAAGGCGAGAGGTAGAAGCAGCAGCCAAGGCAAAAGCAGAAAGAGAGGCAAAGGAAAAGGAGACTGAAGCAGCAGCAGCCAAAGCAGAGAAGGAGAAAGAAGAGGAAGCAGACGCAGCAGCCAAAGAGGAGAAGGAAAGAAAGGAACAGGAAAAGAAGAGAAAGGAGAAGGAAGCCAGGAAGAAAAGAGAGGAAGACAAGAAGGAGGCATCGGCATACATTGCCCGAAAGGAAGCAGAAAAGAAGGCAGCAGCAGCAGGAACAACGTCAGGATCAGGAGAAGTGGAACCGAGACGTGAAGAAGACAGGATGAAGAAGCTGGAACAGATGATGGAGATGATGAAGGAACGTAAAGAGGATAAGGAAAGGATTGCAAGCCTCACACAGGAGCTTGAGAGCAGAGGATCGGCAGCCGGGTCGCAGGCACCCACAGAGCCAGACACAACACCAACAAAGGAGCAGGAGAAGCCAGAAGGAAAAGGAAAAGGAAGAGAAGAAAGAAAGGAGCCACCAAGCGTAACACAGCACAAGCAGAAGAAGGAAGACAAGGACGACCCAGAACTTTCCGCCAAAGGACCAGTGAACGAAGCGTCGTACTTGAAAGGAAAAGGCCGTGGAGAGTTTGAAGGAAACTGGTTTGCGGTCTACGGTTTCCAAGGCAGGAACTACCAGTGGAAGTGGAACGAAGAGAAGGAAAAGTGGTACTGGTATTCAGGATCAAAGGAAACTGGTTGGAAAGCAGCGTCAAAGGACAAGCAAGGAAAGGAAAAGTGCAAGTCGCAGGCAAAGCAGCGTGAAGAGTGGCTAAAGGCACAACTTGAGGAGCAGCAGGAAGTCACCAAGGACAGCGAAGAAGAAGAAGGAAGCAAAGCAGTGAACTTCCAGTGAAGCAAAGGAACAGCGAGCAGTACTGAGGCCAGAGAGCCGAGGAAAGAGCAGTGAAGCAGGACACACACAGGAACCGTGGCACAGCCCTTTTTGTTTCTGTGGTGATCTAAGTAAGTTCAGGAACAGTCTTGTACAGTCTAGCAACCTTGGAGAGGATTGCGAGTGAACGGAAACGTTTGCGAAAGAGGAACAGCGTTTGTTTTGTAGTGAAAAGGAACTGCAGCGTGTTTACTGTCTGTTCAGGAAAAGTCGGAGTCACCTCAGTCGAGGAACTTTCGCTAACTCCGAAGGCGGGGTGTTTTTCATCTTGCCAGGAACAGTAACACCGCTAATGCAGTATGGCGAAGGGCATGCGCAAATTTAATTGCGCATCGGACAAACACAAGCTGTAAGTAATTGGGGAGCAACACGGCATTGAGGCGCTCTAGTGGGTTGCTGAAAAGCGGCGAATCCCATGAGGACCCCATCCACTGGAAAGCAACACGACGGGGGGGAAGGCTAAGGAAGCAAAAGAACAAACGACAGAGGCCAAAACACCCAAAAAAGAGATTCCCAGCAGGAGTCCTAAAATCAGAGAGATTTTGGTGTTCTGTGGCGACATTAGAAACCCGCCAAAAGCTTGTTTCTCTTTTGAGTGTATCCTATTTTTGACTTTCAAGTTTGTTTGGTCTTTGTTGACAAAACTCCTCGCGCGCACAAAAA